AAAAAAAAAAAAAAGAACAAGCATTGGTAAGTGTTTTACTAAAACTTAGCGTACGTTCTGCATAAAAGGTATTAATAATCGATATAATAGTGTGTTAAGACACCTAAAAAAAAGTAGAAATAACGTTGAAGTAAAAAATTATGGTTAACATACCAATATCCAATGCTGCATATCCATCTGCATATTTTCATGTATCCATATATGTTCGTATCACTGTTTAGCACTATACACACACACTCTCGCGCACATATGCATATCACTTGCATAGAAAGAAAATGCACACACGTATACGCGACGCGAAATAAATTTGACACTTATCTAACATCGTTGTTTAATCTTCCGACGATCGTAGGAGACTAGACGCGTAGAAAATAAAAGAAATAACGAAGTACATCGACGAACACCGAACACACACGAAGGTCAATGTCTCTTTGTAAATTTCTTGATAAGATAGTTATTAGAAAAACAATGACTTTATTAGTTAGTAGAAAAGTATTCCCGTGTTTTCTTTTGTTTATATATCTTTCTCTCTCACTCCTCAGCTGGTGTATATCTCGACGTAAAATCCATTTTATTCTATTAAGAACTCGTCAACAACGAATTTGTTAGTTCGTTGACATTCGTATACTTTCGATAATTATCGTATGATGAATAAATGTTAACAGTCAGTCTCCTACGAGCGTCGGAAGATTAAACAACGATATTAGACAAGTGTCAAATTTATTTCGCGTCGCGTATACGCGTGTGCATTTTCTTTCTATGCAAGTGATATGCATATGTGAGCGAGTGAATATTTGCGTAGTGTTAATCAGTGATACAAACCATATATGGATATAAATTTTGACCCAGAACGAATAATTTGATAAATCAACGTAATTGGGACAAATGAATGTGCTTGTAAGTTCAACTTTTTACATTTTTTTTTATTAGTATATATTATTTATAGATTATTTCGTATTCTCCGTTAATGAAAGCAAAGGTGTTAATAAAAGATACATTAGTTAATGACAATGGATTAATTTTATAATTACATGCTCGATGCTAAGAATAAGATTATTCTTTTTCGTTTTTCTTTTTTATTCATTTAAATAGATGAACTCATACAAATAATAATAGTAGTAGTAGTAGTAGTAGTATATAAAGTATGTAAGTAAAGACTAACATTGAGATTTTTCACGGTACGCCATGAACCGTGGACCTCAATTTCAGGAAATCTTCGGATTGCATAGGCGGAAGAAAAAAAGTCTTTTATCCGGCTCTTCGAGATTTCCCTTCGTTTTCATTATTTTTTCTTTTTTTATTACTCTCTCTCTCTCTCTCTCTCTCTCTCTCTCTCTCTTTCTCTTTCTCTCTCAACTATTAACGCCGTCCTTCGCTTTTTCTTCTTTTACACAAATACATACACAGACACACTCATACTTATATACAAAAACATACACACTCTCAATGGTAATTTTTCTTTCTCCTTTTTCTCTTCTACTTTCTTCAACTCTTTCTTCTTTCTTTACATCTATTTCTCTCTTTCTCTTAGCATCCTCATCTTCCAGCTAGCAACAGCCATTTCCCTTTTACGATTTCATTCGCGCACAGTACGGAAAATAATATTTACCAGGCTTTTTAAGTCTAACGCGTTAAATCGCGGTGCCACGGATTACACGTTTAACGACTTTTCTCTTTTCCGCAACGCGAAAAGAGAGCGAGCGAGTCTTTTCATTTCAAAACGTAGAGACCGGCCACCACAAAAAAAAAGAGCCACAGACGGAAAAGTAGTGCGATTGAGTAAGAGAGAAAGAGAGAGAGGGAGAGAGAGAGAATAAAAAAAAAAAAAGAGAACCGAGGAAAAAGAACATGCACGACTTTAATCCCTTTGATTCTTTTCGCAAAACGAATGCCTATGATCTAACGTGTGTTTTGTGAATACGAATGCTTTCAGCCGATAGGCGCTTCAGTACCCCGACCTCTTTTCGTCTCTCACTCACGAAGAACAAAATTTTTGTACAAATTGCGAGAACTTATACGAACACTAGACTAGGCTACCTAATATTCTTTTTTTAGATATAATATAAAATATATTTATTTAAAAGAAAAAACAACAACAACATATGAAATTACCTAAAATACTTCAATTAGTATTCTACATAAAATATTTTCAGATTTGTCTTCTTGTAATTTAAATTTATTGCTAAAGGAATGAACACAAATGATCAAATTATTTTTCTCGGTATTATTATTATTATTATTATTATTATTTGTAGATACTAAATAATATTAAAATGTTATACTTATTAAGTATACTTACATATTATATAATTATTTTTTTTTTTATTAAATGTAAATCTCATTTTAAAATATATTAATACACCAGAGATGCATGTATGAGTTAATTGGCTACGCTAATGATACACATTGAACACATATATACATCATTCATCCGCAAAGGTGTTAATTAATGTATATTTACACACTGATTAATCTCAAATTATTTATTTATCATCTTAAAAGAAAATATTTCACGAGAATATAGGTATAAAAGAACTAGTATTTTTATTGTTAATATTATTTTACTTTTACGCGTACATAGAGTAGTTCGTATAAAAATTTTTAAATCGACCGAGAATACAACTTCGACCTTGTCGCAAAAAATAGTTTCTCTTGAAACTCGGTCGTTTACACATTTTATATATATATATATATGTATTACGTAGGTTGCGAGTGTCCTACATAAATCCTTAGAACTTACTGCACTCTAACAACGAGGTTCATTGAGATAGATCAGTTCTACCTAACGCGAAACTAAAAGACGGACGATCGAGTCTTTCGAAGTTTAAATCTTCCGAACGAACGAAAGAAAGATATCTTTTAAGAATTCGATGAAAAATACTATATTTTAAAGAGGGATCAATTTTTCAATTATTTTATATGCTTACATCTTTTAATTTATTACATTTTTTTTTTTTATTATTTTTTATATATTTTTTATTATTATATTATTATATTTTATCTTAACATCAAGGAGTACCTTTACAAAAATATTTATATTTTAATATATATATATATATATTATATTTTTATTATTAAATATATTTAATTATATTTAAATATATTTTAATAATATTTAATTATATCTTAGTTATATCTTAATATTAGTATTATCTTAATTATATCTTATTTAATTTTATCTTAGCATCAAGGAATTGACCTTTTGCAAAAATATTTATATTTTAATAKATATATATATTATATAAATATGATATTTTTATTATTAAATATATTTAATTATATTTAAATATATTTTAATTATATTTAATATATATATATATATATTATATATATTAAAATATAAATATTTTTTTTTACAAAGGTATTCCTTGATGTTAAGATTGATAAGAAAAAAAATAATTCATTCATTTTTCAACATATTTTAAAACGTAATAAAAAACATATGATATAAATGACACACACACACACACAAGCTGTCTTTTGAAAATTCTTAATCTCCGTTTACGAGATACTCGGATGTTGAAAATATGATAAGACGAAAGGAAATGATAGAAAAATTGAGAAAGAAAAAAAGAAAGAAAAGAGAGGAAGAAAGAGAGAGAGAGAGAGAGAGAGAGAGTAGAAACGTGCACGATTTCAAGAATTTTATTCGCATCGCATGCCAGGCTCCACACCGGTCGAAAGAATATTTTATTTAAGCTTCCTGCTATACCTCCGAAACGACCCTCTGACCACAAGATACACCCCAAGCCTCTGGGTATTCCTAATTTTCTCTGCCAGACGCCGCTGGAATCTTAATTATGAGGAAGAATTCGTGAGAGTCCAAGCCTAAGCTTACTCTCTTTCTCTATATCTTTTTTTCTCTCTCTCTTTCTCTCTCTCTCTCTCTCTCATTTTTCTATCTTTCTCTTTCTCGAATAAGGGCACAATGCTTTTATACCAAATACGAGTAGTACTTTCGAATACTTTGACGTATTTTCGAGAAAATCGAGAGTCATATTTTCGTGAATTGTCACACATGTTAAGAGGTACGTTACTTGTATGAAATTTCTTTGATATATGCGTTTGTATTTCTCCAATAATAATATTCAGCAGGTGAGAATAAAAGGGTGTAGTGTTAAGCATTAAAAATATGTGTGATAAATGTTTAAAACAATCAGTTGATTCAAAATAAAACGTTCCTTAAAGAACAAGAAAATAGGTCGAGTAAATGGCTGGTGTCCCTTTTTTTTTTTTTATAGGTATTTTTTCTTGTTGTATCTATATATATATATATATAAAAGAGAAAAAGAGCATAAATGTTTACTTTATTTACCTTGTATTTATTTGATCGATTAAAGTACATATTGCATGAAGGTAAATATCCAGAGATATTTACTGGGAAAAAAAAAAAGAGAGAAAAAAAAAAAGAAAAAATTTACGAGAAAAGATCCATCGTTTGGTAGCAACGTAGCTTCAACGTCGCTTACATTTCTAAGAAAAACACGAGTTTTAAAAGACGAAAAAGGTAGAAACGGTAGGAACGTAGTAACACATTCTTTTAACCGTATACTTAGAGCGTATTTGTTTTATACTCGTACCTTCCAAGGGCTGTTAGCCTTCTACGTCGTTGGACGAACGACCAAAGCTAAAACTTACTTCTTCCTTGTTCTACTTCTTTTTTCTTTCACCCCTTGCCTCTACCTTCCCTCCCCTCCCCTCCCCCTCTCACGCCTCTCCCACGCCTCTACACCTCACCATCCTTTTTTTTCTTAACCCTTTTTTTTGTTTTTTTTTTTCTTTTTTCTTTTCTTCTTCATCTTTCTTTCTTATTCTCACATTTTTACTTTTACTCGTCAAAGTACAAAATTGCCTTAACAAAATCCAATAAAACTTAACGCCATTTTCCCATATATTCAATTTTGTCGGATCTTTTAAAAAAAAAAAATATATTATTGTTTGTAAGTTCTCTCATTTAGAAATCTTTACTAACTTGATAATTTTTTTTTAATGTGTTACAGGGATTGCAGAGTTGTTAGAGATCCACAGACCTTCAAGTCCAAAGGCTATGGATTCGTGTCTTTTGTTAAAAAAGCGGTAAGCGATGATATTTATTTTTTACTACAGTAATAAAAAAAAAAAAAGAAACAAAATGAAGAAAAATCTGACAATTATTAGAATTGTTCTTCTTACTTGAACACACTAACCCCAATAACCTTTTTTAATGGTTTTTTTTTTGTATCTTTATCACGCAAACTCATCTGGTAGAAAATTAATTTGTTATTCTTATTAGAAAAACTCGTTGCCGAGATAATGAACGAACTTGAACAAAAGAACAGAGCCTCGGCAACGACCTATGCAAATGTAGAATTTTTACATAGACTTTACTTCTTCTTCTTCTTCTTCTTCTTCTTCTTCTTCTTCTAAACAAACTCATCTATCGATCATCATTTGAATGCACATACACACACATACCTTTCTCAATGCGGCATGCACACGCATACACTACACATATTCGCAGAATATCGGCATTGCATATGCTTGGTATGACAACGCATCTTCTCAGTTCCGATACCGGCACCTGTTCCATTCCGATGCAAACGACCGACGAACTTTACGACAATCCATAAAGATCGAAATCGTGAGAAATTAACAGCGTCAAGCTGGAAGTTGGAGCTGGCCTTTCGATCGATGGAAAATAGTAGGGATGAAAACGAAGGGGATGGTTATCCAGAAGCAGCAGAACGTTGCTGGCGGAAGCAGCTTCAGGGTTTACAGCATCGTTCTTAGTGTAGAGAGTAAAAGAGAGAGAATGAGAGAAAGAGAGAGAGAAAAGACGATAGCGAATGAGCAAACGAATGAGCAAGAAAGAAAGAGAGAGAGAGAGAGAGTGGTAGTCCGAGTTTTACTGTACCCCACCAAAATCCGCGACGTAAATCACGACGAAGTTAGATGTACGGCTGAGTAAAAGAAGGCTTTCCTCCGTTTATGGCGAAGGTTATTCGTCGAGCCGGCCGAACCCGGAGGTAGAAACCTTCTCTCGTTTCCCCTCTGTTTTAATGTCCTATCGATCTGGACCACCGCCGGCACCTGACTCACACCCACGGTATTACTATTGCCGAAGTATAAATTTCCCGGGTGTCTCCGCTAACCTCGAGGAACACGCGAAAATTTCTCCTCCTTCTTCTCCTCCTCCTCCTTCTTCTTCCCTTTACTCTTCCTCTTCCATTTCAAGCTCTTCTCTTCCTTTTCTTCCTTCCTCTTTTCCTCTCTCTCTCTCTCTCTCTCTCTCTCTCTCTCTCTCTCACATTGGGTCACTATTTCCTTCGAGCACCGGATACACGTATCTAAATCGCGTACTCTGATCGCACGGCCAAACGACGACATCCCCTCTCCAAAGTATTTTCTACGATCTACTACTACTACTACTAAACGAACAAAAATACGAATTCCTTGGATTCTACACTACTCTTCTTTTCCGATAGCATCCACATTGTCTATCTCTATCTCTTTCTTTCTTTCTTTCTTTCTTTCTTTCTTTCTCTCTTTCTCTCTTTTTCTCTTTTTTACTTCTTTCAACGTTTTTAAACTATTGGAACGATCGAAGATTTCGTTCGTTTGTTCTTTCGTTCGTACGTTCGTTCGTTCGTACGTTCGTACGTTTGTACGTACGTAGGTTTTTGTAGAAAGAATTTTCTCTTGAAAATCTTCTCATAGATTCGACAAGAAGGACAGACATTTACCAGAAAAAGAGGATAAAGAAATCGAAATAACTTTTTGTAAAAGCCACGTAAGTCGTGAGAGAGAAAGAGGAATAGTGCTTGTAGGGTACTGGCATGACTTAATAATGCATGCAAAGCAGTTGGGTGTCACTTCGGTCAGAGTGCTGTTTCATGACTGATCGCTGATGTCTATACACAGTCGTCTTCTATATAAGCTTTTGTGGTTTCGAGTGTGAGAAATAGATAGCTAGCTAGCTAGCTAGCTACAGTCGTCTTCGTAGTTGGACATGTTCAAACTGTACAGGTACTATAAAATATTAGGGTGGATCAAAAGGAAAAAAAATGAGAAAAAAAAAGAACAATATTTATTGGTCTTAAGATTGCTATCATTTGCTTTTATTATATTAAGTCGTCCCAAAAATTTCTTCCTTTTTTTGATGATAAGTTACACAATATTGTATACGTAATATTTTTTATTTTATGTTATTTTAATAAATATTATAATATCGATTGTACTCTATTTTACTTTTTTCTATACTTTCAATTATTCAACTTAGAAAATATTGTGCCTATAGAATTACTAAAAAAAAAAGAAGAAACTTTTGGGACGACCTAATATAAATATAATATATATAATATAATATATTTATATATTATATAATTATATTTATTATTTTAATTATATTTATATTTATATATTTATATATTTATTTATTATTATATTTATTATTAAATATAAATTTAAATTTATATTTAATATAATAATATTTAATATATATTAAATATTATTTTATTTTTTTTTTATATTTTTTAATCTTTTTTTTATGATATATTATATATAATATATAATATTTATATATTTGATATATTTTTATATATATTTTTATAATATATATTATATTATAAATATATAATATAATGGAATAAGTGGATAATAAATTAATAATAAAAATCAAATAGCTATAGTAAACTAAAGAAGGAAATAACAATACATAAAAAGAGAAAGAGGAATAATTTACAGTATATCTAATAATTTTTAAAAGTCCGTCCTACTCATTGTCCTTATTATATAATATAATAAAGCTTAAAAATGAAATATTGCATTAAAGAAAAAGAGAAAAAGAAAGAGAGATATATAAAACTTGTTGGAAGGTTGAATTCAGTAAAAGAAAACCAAAAGAAGAGAGTAAGGGAAGAGAAGAAGGACGTTTGATATCGACCGGAGTTTAGAATCGGCTTAGAACCGAGCGTATTCGGTCTCGCGGTCTATCTGGGCTAACCGCGCGAATATGCGGCATCATATCGGGAATGGAAATTCGAATCGGAAATACTTTATCCCACAGGAGCACAAATGTCGTGGGATAAGGACCGTAGAGTAGTGGGAAAGTGGTTAAGGTGCACGACTCTTGAAGAAAAAGAAAAAGAAACGAGAGAGAGAGAGAGAGAGAGAAGGGAGGTTAAAAGTGGAAGAAAAGCGAAGAGAAAACTCTCGGAGTCCTTCGAATGGCGCAAACGGTGAGGAAAAGAGTGGGGGTGCTCACCACCACCCTCTTTTCTCAAACCACGCGTTTGTGAAAAGCCTTTCGACGGTCAACCCCTACCGCTGGAATTTCTCAATGGCGGGAGTATTTCCAGCCATCTCTACTTCTCTCTCTCTCTCTCTCTCTTTCTCCTTTTTTTTCTCTCTTCTTCTTTCTTTCTTCTTTTCTTTAACTCTCGCGGCCTCTTTTTATCTCATCTTTTCTCAACTCCAAAGCTTCGTCCAAGCAGCAGTCAAATAAAATAAAGACGAGAGGATTATTTTTAGTCTCTCTTTCTTTTTCTTTTTCTTTCTCTCTCTCTCTCTCTCTCTCTCTCTCTCTCTCTATTTATCCATCTTTCTTTAGTTTACTTTCTGTTTACTATTCTCCAAAATTTTGTCCATCTCCACCTTCCTTAAACATTTGAAAATATGAAGAATATACATAATGATGTGTATATATGTGTGTAGTTATTGCATAGTGTTATTTTTCTATCAGATCAAACTTTTTGTTTAAAAAAAGAACTTATATTTAAGTAAGTTTCTGCAATTTTCTGATTGAACACAATTTCTTCATTTTATTATATTTTTCTTTCCTTTTTTCTTTTTTTTTTTTTTTTTGAGAAAACTCTTCCAAATTTTTCATTCGAATCATACAATGGTCATGTATAGGATAGCCCACACTTATATATATATAATACGAAAGAGGTATATTGAAGCAAGGCCATGACCGTTTTGTTACCTACTCGAGAACAAATAGCCCAGCCACGTGGAGAGGCTCGTTCTCCCTTCGTCATAAAGGATAGCACCTTTTCTTCGAGAAGGGAATTCAAAGCAGCGATGGGAAACACCGCAGTTTGCCGAGGGCAGTTGTTGGGAAATGCGAGGAATCGGAGGTGCGATTTGTCGAATGGAATTCCCACTCGTACTAACGTATCTTCGACTCGATCCACTTCCACCCCTGCCATTTTCTTTGGTAAAAGGAAAGGAACGTTACGTTCTTACGATTTACTTTAGCTACTTAACGAGCTGTCCCATCAGTCCGATTTAATTCTTTCGTCCTTTGTGCGTCATTCCTTACTTTTCTCTCTCTCTCTCTCTCTCTCTCTCTCTCTCTCTTTCTTTCTCTCACACACTTACACTCTTACTCTTTTTCACTCTCTATCTTTATTTCTTTTCTTTCTTTCTTTCTTTTTTTTTCTTTTACTTTTTCTTTATCTCTTTACTTCTCTTCGCGTACCTTAGATTCGATCGTCGTAGGAGGAGAACGTTAAAGGACGTCACTCGTGCGAAAGGTATAAACGTTAACGTTATTCCTATTTCTACGAAGAAGAAGAAGAAGAAGAAGAAGAAGAGAAAGAAGAAAAAGAAGAAGAAGAAGAAGAAGAAGAAGCCAGGACGGTAAAATTTTTCTCGATCCGCTTACGGCGTGCTTTTCTCAAAGCAGAGCAGTAATAAATAAAAGTTACGATCGGTGTCCTGCGTACTCGGAGTTACAGCCGTTTACTGTTGCTCGTAACGTGGCTTTACTTCTTACGTTTATTTCATTTATCCCGACCCCCTTTTGCACAAGAAAATCGTTCCGTCTATTGAAAAGTATCTCTTTCTTTCTCTCTCTCTCTCTCTCTCTCACACACTCTCATTCTCGCTTAAAAACTTATCATTTCTAAAGGCAGCAATCTTAACTAGTTCATCGCGACGATTATAAAGAGAGAGAGAGAGAGAGAGAGAAAAAAGAAAAGACAAAATTCACCGTGCTAAAGTTTTCTCAATCTCGTTTTATCATTTTCGTGCCATCGATTAAACCATTTTACTCATTACACAACCCATTGTTTCAGGAAGCGGAAATTGCCATCGGTACCATGAACGGGCAATGGCTCGGTAGCAGAAGTATTCGAACGAATTGGGCGACTCGCAAGCCGCCTGCACCAAAATCTGAAGGTGAGTCAAAGAGACAAATAATATAAAACATCGATCATTACATTTTTTCTCAACTAATAATACATAACCTAAAAACGTAACGAAACTATTGAAATAAATCATACCAATCGCGCGGAACGATCTAAATTCTGTAATATCCTAACTCTGTCTTATATTATATTACGATTAAACTAAAATGACGAAATATAATAGAAGAAGAAAAGGTGGAAAAAGATGGAGGGTGGGGAAAAGGGGGGGGGGAGTCTAAAAAAAACACAAACAAATAAAGAAAGAGAAAAATATTTACTCTCCTTCCCTCTATCTCTTTCTCTCTCTCTCTCTCTCTCTCTCTTTCTATCTTCCAAGAGAGTAAAAGGAGCTTCCAATTTCTTTTAATAGCTGAAAAGAAAAGAAAATATCGTTCAAGATGAAGGAAAGATGATAGGGATGAAGATGGAATAGTAGGAACGGGGGGAATAGGAAAGGGGGGAAAGGGATGAGAAGAGATACGAAACGAGAGATATCCGTCAAAGGAACATCGTGTTTATCTTTGCAACGCGGTTTACTCAATGTGAATACGAATATCTCTGCGTGAAGGTAAATTAAATATCACGTTGGCGCGTTCACGCGATTGCGGAAATTTCGTCGACGCAACCAGAATTTGATTAGGTCGGGGGAAATTCCATGGTTCGCGCAGAAATGGATGCGCACGATCGAGTCAGTAGTAGTCGTCTCTCTCTCTCTCTCTCACTCTCTCTCTTCTTCTCTTTCTCTTTTTCTCTTTAGTCGTTGAGAATTCGAAAGGTTCGTTCGTTTTCTTTCTCTTTTAATACTACTATTGCGCTTACACTCATAACGTGGATCGTTCGTTCAGAAAGCTTTTTCACTGTGTATGGCCCATTCAGAAAAAGCTCGAAACGGCTTTACCACGAACGGTTATTCTGCAAAAGCGGCCTCCGCAAAGGCACCACTCGCCGTTCGAGTGTTTGTTAATCGATATCTCGAGATGGACTCGAGTGCCTTTTTTCAAACGAACGGGGCAAAAGAGTGAAGGTACAAGCCGACCGAACGGACCAAACCGACAACGACGACGACGACGACGACGTCGACTCTGAACTACCTTTTCGATTTCCAACGGGCTACTACTATCGCCTTGCTTAGAGTACCTATACCTATCGACTTCGGGAAAAGCCCTTTTTCCTTTTACCACTTCGAACCTCTATTGCTCTACGACACACGCGAAATTTCCTAACTTCTTTCAGCTAGGGTTTTTCTTCCCCTCCCTTAGTCCCACGCCCGTTTGTCGACAAAGAAAGAAGGAAAACGGCGGCCCTTTAGGAAAATCTTCTACATTGACTTTCAAGCATTTTCATGAATGTTTCCCCTAACACTAAAAGTCGGCCAAATTTCAAAAAATATTCTGTGTTTCTTTTTGACATGTCTGTTTATACGATTTTTTGTTCCTTTGCATCAATTCATTTAATAATCGTTTTGATAATATCAAATTGATAATAATATTATGATAACATCAAATAATGAACAATCAATGAATAATCGAATTGTAATCGAATTCAAATGGAAATGTTACAATTATAAATGAAATATTTATCAATCCTGTATATTAATTTGTATTGTACAATTCAATCTTGTGTTGATAATGTCAAAACATCTTATTATCAAGAATATATAAAATGATTATAAAATCATTCAGAAAATTAACATGATCAAAGAAAAAGTGAGAGAGAGAGAGAGAGAGAGAGAAAATGGTTCATGAAAGAATACAAAAGCCTTAGGTAAGAAAGAAAAAGGGGTATGGTAAGGATACGCTAAGAATTCAATTGAAGTTATGAACTAAACGCATAATGAGCTTGAAGGTAGCACTCCGAGAGCCAAGTAAGTATTATTATATTATCATAAGCGGCTCTCCGTCGTCAGGCCACGGACCTCTCCTACCTCCTGAGAGAGTTAACTCCGACCCCTCGACTAACTAATTTCATTCCCCAAGTCTTTAATTAGTATTCGTCGCGAAGAGTCCGAACTTTTTCACTAGACTACGAAGATGAGGAGAAAGAGAAGTAGTAGTAGGAGTAGGAAAAGAAGAGGAAGAGGAAAAGGAAGAGGAAGAAGAAAAAAGAGGATGAGAGATCTTCCTTAGCCTCTGACCCCTTTCCTGGACCCAACCGACCGACCGACCGTTCGTTCATCCGTATTTGCATAGACCAAATTCTCAAAAGCTGAACTTCCTATTTCTTTATCAGACAACCGTTTTTGCTCGCGTTAACTAAACTTTTCTTTTCAAAAATCTATTAGATAATTTCGATCGAAAGATTAATAGAGAAGATATTTACATTCAAAGATCATTATTATTATTATTATTATAGTTTTTTTTTTTCAATTTGAACAATATTATATTATATTATCATGAGTTAAATATTAACACTTATGCCGTCCTCACGTCTAATCTAGATTTTTTCGTGTCGCGCTGGTATATTTATATTATTATATATATATTTATATATAATTAAATTATAATATAATTAAATTTAAAATAATTAATAATATGTGGGGGGTGGTGGTTTGGTGGTGGTTGGCGTGGTTTCAGACAGACAGACATATATATATAGAAGCTTTTATTGAATAAAAGCAATGTTTATTATAATATAACAAAGACTTAAAGACCGAAAGCAAAATAAGTAACCGTAACTACACTCGTCTAACACTCACTCGTCACACCGAATCAAGAAGGGCCTCAGGACTGTCCTCTTCACTGCGTTTATATATGCATTCACCCCACCAATGGTCCCGATCACTTTCGTTAATCATTCTAGAAATCTCCAGACTATTCCCAATCGGTCAAACAAAAGACTTCTTCCCGATTTCCGGCTCGGGAACRTTCGAGAGATTTCGGAGTGTTTACAAACGATGATGTCAKCCGATATCGTACGCTTTTCTTTCTTGTCACATGCACTCGTATCCATATCGCTACAAATCTTTCATCAACCACTTCCATGTACGCCATACACTCGCACTCTTATATATATATATTTATATAACTGAATGACTAAATACCAGTTTTCCTACAAATAAATTTTTTTTAAATAATTATCTAATTATTATACTATTCAATAATTTCCGAATGACACCAACATGGAGCTACCAACACTTATCCGATAGTTTTCGCATGGCACCAACGTGGAGCCACCAAACATCATAGTGTTAAGTAAAACGATAGATACCTAACGAAATATAAATTATATAAGAGTAAATTTTGTATTCTCTGAAAGAAACGTCGATAATGAACAGAACGTGGGGAATGTTACGTCACCCGCCGGACGTAAGATGTAAGAAACAACATCGTCAGTGGTCGTCCATGGAAACAGTCGAAGCAGGCTCATTTTATTTCTCTCTCTATCTATCTCTCTCTCTCTCTCTTTCTCTTATTCTTGGTGAATAGGTTCGAGTAGAAGAGCAAGTTCCGAGTGCAAGTTTATCGACTATCGTTTTACTCCCCTGAATTACACGTCGGAGTTTATATGACTCCGGACTTCTCCTTTCTCTCTCTCTCTCTCTCTTCTCTCTTTCTTCTTCCTTCTTCCTTCTTCTTCTTCTTCTTCTTACTTTAGTATCTCTTTCCAAGAACATCCTGGCGATTGCGCCAAAGCTCATCTACAAATCCAAAAGCCAGTGCACCATAGCCACCGCGCCAAGATTCATCTGCATATTTTGACGTAATAGGAGGAACGCGACTGCATCGAGAAGTCTCTTGCATTATACATTCTTTAAACAAATCTCGACTCGATGTAAGCAGTCGGAAGTTGGTTTAACGCAGGAACACGATGATAATAATAAGAAGATAGTAGGGAAGTACTACATTTCGTGCTAGCCAATTTCTTCGAGGAAAGAAGAAGAAGAAGAAGAAGAAGAAGTTTCGATTATCTGGAAAGTGTGCCGTAGTCTTCTTCCTTCTTTTTCTTTTCTTTCTTTTCGTATCTCTCTCTCTCTCTCTCTCTCTCTCTCTCTCTCTCTCTCTTTTTCTTTCTCTTTACCTATCTTTATCTTTTCTTTTTTTTTCTATCGACTTTCCGTTAGCCGTGATTATCGGGAAAAGGATAAAACCATCGAGAGAGTTTAAACATATAAATTTATCGGTCTTTATAAATTTCGATTATATTTTATACTCCGCGTGTTCACTTTAAAAGATACACGACTTCGAGGAAGAATTTCAATAAAATTTTCCTACCTATATATGTATTGTTGACCCGAATTTTCTTATTTTAAAAATGTGTGTGCTTATAATTTAAATCAATAGTTTTTGATTAATTCACTTTTGAACCGTGTTTATCGATCCTTTAAATTCGATGTAGAATAAAGAAAGAAAGAAAGAAAGGGAAAGAATAAATTGTCTAAATGTGGTGGGTTCAGAGTACGAAGAGGGTAAATAGAAAGGGAAGGAGGATGAGGTAGGGAACCGAGCAACCATTTAATTTGACTGAATCCCGAAAGTTAGTCGGCAACTAGGTCAATATTTTATAGCACTGGCAATTAGATAATTTTGCGGCCGGGCAAAAATATGATTGCTGGCGTGTGAAAGGACCAACTTGGGCCACGGGTTAATGTCAAAAGTTTGTATCGTCTCTCGACGTGTCGAATCGTATCTCTTTCTTTCTCTCTCTCTCTCTCTCTCTCTCTCTCTCTCTCTCTCTCCTTCTCTTTCACTCAAAAACCTATCTATCTTTTCTATCCTTACTTCTCTCATTCACTTTGTTTAAAACGTTTTTTCTTTTTTTCTTCTTTTTTTTTTTTACCGATCTCATATCATTTTCTCAGTCAACATAATAGCGCCTATTCATGAGAAAACTCGATAAAAATATAACATTAAAATTTTTTATTCGATTTTTACTATTCCGAGAATATATAATTCGTTATAGTCGCATCAATAAACCTTGCCAACTTTCCACCTAGAGATATAACTTAGGCGACGACAGTTGCGATCGACTATCTTCGGAGCCAGACACATACAC